ATGAATGGCGCCAGTGATTGTGGCATAAGAGGATGTGTATTTCAAGTTATAGACGTCAGGCGAGATATAATCTGTGGACAAAGTGCCCTGAACGAAGATTTAGGACCAGAGCCTCCGACCTATAAACGGAATTTTAGGACCGGACCAGATGACCGGACCTAGGGGGAATATTTCAGGACCGTATAATGGACCGGACCAGATAGGGATAATAATATCGATTTCAAAAGAGATAAGTTACAGTGTATGTCCTTATGATATGGTTTTCATAGCCGTTATAGTGGTTCGGGGAAGATCGATGGGAAGAAGTGGTTAGTATATTCCCGTAAGATGCTTGGGCCAAGTGAGTCGACGATGGAGGATATGTACTGGGCCACGTATTCACTTGTTGAATTACTTAGTAGCGTACCCACCTCTGTGGTTTATATCGAGTTGTCTTCATCGCGTAGTGTTGTGTAATGGGTTATTGGTACGAAATGCTGAGTAGGATCAGGGTATCCGTCACAATTCGGTTGAGGAACGAGCTTGGGGGTGAACCGATGCCGCACCAGACCACGGATGCACTCGGTATGTGCTGGTTGGCCTGAATTGGAAGTATCATAGGTGGATCCAACAGGCGCGATGACTTGGTTTGGACCGAAATTTGGAAGTAGTACTTCTTGCCTCTGTCCAATCCTTTTTATGTGTTATACACATAAAATTCACTAATTTACACATAGAAACTTAAGGTCGTGGTTGGCCTTCAAACCTAAGAATCAAACTAGGTTTCTACAGCCCTAAAACCCTCTACAATTGCCTTGCTCTCAGAGCGATTACACTTAGTACATATATGTATTTCGGGCAGATTTTTTAGACTTGTTGGAGAATATTCGGACCGAACTTTGGGGATTTCCAAGGCCTCAGGGCTCAGGCCTCAGAGGCCAGTCACAGTCTCACAGCGACACTGGCTCTCATACAAAACGGTGTCCGTCAAAACTTAAATATGACACTACAATGACAGACTCTACTGAACTCTCTCTCTACATACTACTAAATACATAGCAGGCTGGAGGCTGGCGGTCTACTATGTAACATAGCAGGTGGAGGCTGGCGGGCTGACCCTAAAAATAGTAAAATACTCGTGTGATGACAGTGAATTGACACCACCTCATGACGAATTTTTATATTTTTTACCCATGAAGTGTCATGACGATGAATCGATGATGATAAGGGGAATCTGAAGTGGTATTTACATAGACTGGCCCTGGGAGGCTGAGAGTCTGTGACTCTGAATCTATAAGTCTCTGAGAGATGCTGATGAATGATGATAATTATGTAAATACATATAAATAACATGCACATATTACATATCATATATAATTACAACCGAAACAGCGCAAATTGGCAAATAATACACGGAACTACTTGCAATCGAAAGCAATGCATAGATTTATAAGAAAGGAACTACATCCACGGGGTGTCTCTATTCGCGGTAGCGTATTGTCAAATGCTCGATTTAATCCTAGTTGTTGGAGGATAGCCCACTACAGTGATCATTCGGAAAGTGATTTCGGTTTCAAAAAGGTCAAAACAGATGAGAAGTACAAGCATGGTATGTTTCTTCCATTTTCTCGACTCAATCATCACACTGAGAGGTCATAAACACTACCTACCTATTCATATATGCATATATTGTACAATATATATATATACACACACACACACACACACACACACACATACACACACACCACACCACACCAACCATACACACACACACACACACACACACACACACACACACACAACAAC